TCTTAGTAAAATGTGTATTGACTTTAACTCTGTATACTCTAATGTAGATTTTTGCTTGAGCGTAGAACAAATAAAATCTAATATTATTGTATTTTTAAATGAGTAGTAAAACAACAAACTGGCTGTTGATGTAGATTCTGTAGCTGGTTTTTCTATTCCACTCTCAAATCCCATCATGATTCGGATCATGGTGTGTACGCGATCCCTACGTAAGGGGAGGTCGCCCCCTCGGTCGGCAGGGGTGGGAATGAGAGGCGTGGGAACGTCGAAAAAAAAGTGTTTTGAATTCTCATTGGGTGTCTAATCTTACTTTAAACCAGTGAGCGGAGCAGTATAGTCGGACGGGGCCGACCATACGATACTCTACACAACTTCCATGAAAATCTAACTTTCGGTGGTTCTATATTCTGAGATTGGGCAATATTTCGCGATATTTGCACACTTTTGACTGGCTAGAGGTCAGCAAATGTTGGCACTTGTAAATATTTAAGTGTAACTCCCGCATCCGAGTACCTACGACTATATATTATTCTTTGACCCGATACCCTTCTCTATGCAAAAATTCGCGGTGTTAGGGCCATAATTGCGGCCTCTGGAGCGACCAGAAAAACAGACACTGCAAACGAGAATGGGGGAACATAAAACTGACATTGAAAAGGGAACACAAAAAACAGCATTGGCGCAACATATTTCGAAAACGGGACACAAAGCAAATTTTGAAAATGTCAAAATATTAGACAAAGAAAGCAAAGACGATAAAAGATACACGATAGAAAGTTTACGAATACAACAGAAAATAGAAAGGACGATGAACCTCAAAGAGGACACAAACAACATAAGTGTTAGCTATCGCATTGCAATATAGTAATCTGTAATATTAGTTATTAAGATTTTGTGTTGTTGAACTTGACGAAATACTTCATGTAAACTTAATCCAATTTTATTGTAAGTTATTTATATATTCATGAAGACTTGATCTAATGTAATGTTTATTTAAATAGACGTATCCCCTGAAGATGTCAACAAACATTGACGAAACGTCGGGAAAAATGAAATAAAGAGGAATTTTTATTTACAAAACTTAGGTCTATAAGCTTAATAGAACCCAAATCAATAAACCTACCTGGACCAAGAAAATTAATAATCAGACACAAATAAAGTTTTTGGTCCATTTCACCCCCTAAATATTAACCGATCTTTTCCAAAAACAATAGGGGTCTTCATTGGCCAGAACCTATACTACATGCAAAATTTCGTGAAGATTGGTCCATAACTGTGGCATGGACACACATGTCTAGATCGACTCAGCTAGTCGAGATATGACGATCGGTATACTTAAAGGTGGGTCTAGGACCAATATTTCGCGTTACAAACTTTTGGGGCTACACAAATCTATAATACCCTGACAACATAGTTGTGTAGGGTATAAAAATTGTTAATATTGGTCCCTATTTAAGGATAGCCTCTATATAACTTACCTCCCAAATATCGGTGTTTTGGAGACGTGCGTACTTCACGTACTTCAACCTAAATGCCTGTAATTTTATATTTTGACTTATCATTGAGTAGAAAATATCTCTACCTAAAATTCCGGTTAGTCCCAAGATTCCGGTTAGTCCCTATATAAAGGTACCTTCCATTTTTCGGTGTTTTGAAGGATTTGGTCACGTTTTTCAACCGAATTGGCTCTAATTAGTTTTTTCAGGTCTACATGGGATGCCAAATCTTCCTACCAAAAATTAGCAATAACGGTTTAGGTTTTGGTATAGCTCCAATATAACGGTACCGAACAATTTTTTGAAGCCTGTACCCGCATTTTCCCGGCGATGTGGATATGATTTGAATTAAAGGGTTCTTAAAAGCTGATATACATATACACTGAAAATGACCAAAATCGGTCCATGTTTTAACATAGCGCCCATATAAGGATAGAGCCCCATTATTAGTATCCATTTTCGATATAATTAAGTTTTTATGCATTACCCTATGGCTAATGAAGGTATGTATATACACTTTGATAGGCCAAAAATGTCCCTCACCGAAATATTGGTTTTAGACCAATTTGGAGTCAAATTACAAATGTCCGTGGAAGGGTAACCGATTTCATCCAAACTTTGCACATCGTAACATTTCTTCCAATCTGAGTTCACGTTCGAAGATGGGAAATATCGGTTCTTCTGGTACCTCCACTACAAAATGGTCAAAGATGTGCAATAAATAATTTTATAATATCCTGCGAACGGACAATGCGATTTGAACAAAACTTTGCACAACCTATTACCATTTCTAAACCTAGATCAAGTCGGATGATGGGATCCATTGACCTCCTCGCTCTTGTACCGACCTCACAAATGTTCAAATGTTCTACCAATCTTTACACAGCCTATTATCTTTATCAAGGCTAGATCAAGTTTGATCTAGTGGGACCCATCGGTTATCTCCTTCTGTTACCTCCCCAATAAAGGGTCAATATTTTATAAAATTGTAAATTAAATTTAAAGCAGATCGAATATTCTATTGGATCAACAACGAATCCTTCATAATAAAACCTGTGTGTAATTCGGTGGCCTTCGTAAACCATAGGCTGAGGGTATATATCTATAGGCAACACCGACTGACACTTCTTTTACTCTGCTGAACAATTTTAAAGATTGTTCAAAACAATTAAAGTTATTCGAATGGCGCCCAACATTTGAATGTTTTATGTTGGGCGCCATTCGAATAACTTTGTTGGCACTAAAGACAATAAATATATATATTTAAACTTTCATGTTATGGATCCCTGTTACGTTGCTTGTGTGTAACCTAGGACGTTGAAAGTAAAGGTTCTTCAGATTACGACCATTCAATTCCGACCAGATTAAATGACCGCTTCACACATTAAGGATGGTGAGACTTCTGAACGATATCTTTTTTGTTTTCCGAGTACCCGATGACGTAGGCAACGAAATGGATATGGGCCACATCTGATTTTTCCATAAAATTTCTGATTATTTTCATCGATTTCAAGTTCTTTAATCAGATTGTTTAACAATAATGGACACGCTTTTTAAATATTGCGTATTTCAGTTATATGTTGATAAACAAAAAAAGAGAAAACGAAAAGCTAAAAAATTGGCTAGGGCCTTCAACAAGTTTCTATATGGATTGTCCTGTCGTACAGGGAATTATGTATTTGTATATATGTTTGTAACATGCAAAATGGAACGAGATAAACCCATGGTTAACTTTTCGGATATACATGGAATTCTTTCTAGATCGGGTTTGTAAGCAAGAACTCGAATTTGTCTTGAGTTCTATATCACTAACATATTTCAACACCTCTGCAGTATTGTCACCCTCCTTCCAATCATTATTTCAGTCACATTTGCGCAAATGGAATTTTGCATTATCGGAATCGACCCATTATGTTTAACAATTGGAATTTCCCATCTCTGCTGCATCCCACAACATTTTTTTTTTGTTTTGATTAATTAAATACGTCATATAAAAATTGCGGAACGAAATCTCGTTATAAATAAACCAAACAATAAAATATCGCTCGAATGATAAAAAGCTCTCAGTTGAATTTCATACATCCACTGATCGAAACGCTTTGATGGATTGTAACAAATCTTTTATTTTATTCATATTTTGCATCATAGCTAAAGCTCGTAAGCATTTAAAAACTAATTTACTCGGTTAATTTGATGGACAAGTGATACAAAAATATTTCATGTTGTTTAGACGAGGAAGAAGAAGACGAACCATGTCGGACACCACTCAATGCACAGGGTTTATGTGTTCCATATAAACAATGCTCCTTTCTGTATGATTGGAACGCGAAATATAATGGGAATTTACCAAAGATATTGCGACAATATATATATCAAGCAAAATGTTCTCAGGATAATGACAAGATTGTAAGTATGTGAAAGAAATAAAAAACGTGATTTTGATGCTATATATAGTGATACGACCTAATGTTATTGCGGAAATGCAGATGATATAGGGATATGTGTATCAGAAATATATTGTGTGTTTCTTAACTGCGTCGCGGTACTGACAATTGGATGAATAACAAATCAATTCGAAGTGCTTTAAATTAATACTAGTAAAAAACCAAAACTTCATTATTTTCGGCCTCCTCATTCAAAAGTCCATAAATCGGTTGTGACGTTTTGTATTGGTAGGAGACTATGCTAATGTATAGTTCATGATCTAAAACCAGTACGGAAAGTAGTAAAGTCGGACTGGGCCAACTATATGATGATATATGCAAATCGATGATATATGGCAGCTGTACCTAAATCTGAACCGATTTTTCCAAATTTCAATAGGGTTCGTCCTTGGGCCAAATAAATGAGCTGTGCCAAATTTCATCCAATTCGGATCATAAATGCGATCATTACTTTGTTTACAATTTAATATGGACAGACATATTAAGTGATTCTATGTATATTCTCGAAAGGAACCGTCTATCTCGTTTCCTTCTGCCAGTTACTAACATATGCACAAAGACAAAATATCCCGTACCACAGTGTGGTGAAGGGTATAAATATTCGAAGATTGATTGATTGCGTGGGACTGTATAAAAAGTTGAACCAAACGGAAGTAATTTTAAAAATTTGGCGGATCAATTCGTTCGACCCATTATGTCGATGTCGTCGGCATAGGCGAGTAACATATGCTGTTTTCCAGCAGGAAAAGGTCAGAATAGTCATTCGGTATTGAAGCGCTACAAAATTTATAAAATATATAATATTTGTGAGTATCGTTATATGGGGGCTATACCAAAGTAATAATACGTGCTCGATCATCGAACATTGCTAGATCGACATCTAGTCATAAATATGTATGAATTTAATGGGATCTCTGCAATAGGATTGATATATTTAATACACGATTTATTCATTCAATTCATCTAATCGCAATTTTATTTCTAGGTACGTCTCTGTTGCGAACCCGATACAATTCTTAGGCCAACAACGGAACAAACAACATTAACAGGAAATAATTTATATTTAAATCCCACGGAAGATTTTCACAGACAATTGAATGCAGCAGGTTTGTCAGGAACATCTGTTTTTTTAGAATATTATATCTTAAATTAGTTCATATTCTTCTATTAAGGTTTTGATATACTAAATGGGCTGCGTTGTGGGACGGATAATGGAAATCGCATTGCCGGTGGTAATGCAACAATGTTGGACGAATTTCCATGGATGGCATTAATAAAATATCGTGGTCCTTCTGGTGATCAATTTCGTTGCGGTGGTTCATTGATAACACAACGTTATATTCTAACGGCGGCACATTGTGTCAATACCCTGGATCCAGTGTAAGTACATATTGAATTTACAATATTTGAAGTCATGCTGAAATCAGGCTACTTTTGGTTATATTAAAGAGAATGATATTCTTTATAATTGTAATGAAAATGGGTCACCGAATTTTCGATGTTTGACTGCACGACTTTAATGGCGCTCGATTACAAAAGAAATATTTCGGAATTAAATAATCTTGTGACAAACTGAAATTACATAGAATTGGTAACTTAGTATTTTATATAGGCAAAAAACGGATCTTATTTATTATCTGAGAATACGAAATACCAAATTGCAGATAATTGCTGGAAAAAATTGGCAAGGACCTTAAATGTACAGAAAACGGAAGGAGCTATGTGAATCTTTGGTCACATATTGAAAATTTTCTGAGTAGAAGCCGAATTTCAAGTTCCCAATGAATTTGAGACCTTACTGATTTTCTTTAATATATTGAAATTAATATGTACGACATCCAACATTATATATATGTTTTAGGGCTTTTACTAAATATTTGAACCAAATAGTCTGTAATTTAGAATGACCAATTTGGGGTGTATACATGTTCAAAATTATAATTATGAAGTTTTTATGTTTTTTAAATACTAAAATAAATACATATTTATAAACAACATTAAAATTCCATTTGATACAGTATTCAATTAAAATATTTTAATATGTTGTATTTTCCATCTGTGGCAAAGCAAAGCTCACATTAAAAATTTAGAACTTGGAACAATAAACAAAGACGTATTAGTCATATGCGTGTGCATACATACACATAAGAAATAACTGATAATTTGGGGGTTTCCCTATCACCTGAAACCTAAACCTACAAAAATGCAAAGCAATTCAGGTATTTGAAATGTATTTTGGGAATTCCATTCTTAAAAATACTTATCAAACCACAATCAAATACATGTTTATATGTTTGGGTGTTTTGCAAATTTGTTTCTGAATTTTGCGTCATCATTTAACACACCTTTTTATTCTCTTTCTTAACAAATACATGAACGATGGTGGATTAATAATTGACAGAAACACAATTTGTATACCAAATATTACCTTATGGTATTGGTGATGTATAACACTGCACTAACCGATTTGAAGCCCTTGACGAGTACATGAAATCACCAAAGGAAATCACGGTGTACTGAATTGAGTCTAGAATGATGTGTGTAAAATTTCTTGAAAATCGTTTCAGATTTGGATATAGATCCCATATATATTTTGGACCGATTTAAGATAAATGGTTCACCAAAGTCCCTATATATCTTTCTATTTGCTCGATATTTGGCATAGTGTACTGAATTGAGTCTAGAATGATGTGTGTAAAATTTCTTGAAAATCGATTCGGATTTGGATGTAGATCCCATATATATTTTCGCCCGATATAATGTAAATGATATACCAAAGTCCCTATATATCTTTCGATTTGCACGAAATTTGGCATAACATACTGGATTGAGTCTAGAATGATGTGTGTAAAATTTCTTGAAAATCGGTTCAGATTTAGATATAGCTCTCATATATATATGTTCGCCCGATTTTAAGTAAGACCCAAAATATGGTCATAAGGAACAAAACCTGCAGAAATTAGTATATAACCTTATCTGTGACAAGTTTCGTTGAAATCGGTTCATATTTGGATATAGTTTTTTTTATATCCAATTTAAATAAAGGGTGCACCAAACTCCTCATGTTTATAATATTGACATAAAATATTGCACATCGTACAAAATTGAGCATTTTGATATTTTTGACCCATTGTAACAAACGAAATACATGTTTATGGATTGATCTAAGTCGGTTCACATATTTTATTTCATCAAATTTCATGTTAATGGCACTTCTGTTAGCGAAATCAATAATCATAGTTCATACCAGAGCCAGATGTGAGACTCTTATTCTCTCAAACTCTCCAAGAGCTGCCTCATCTGCTTGCGCAAATACCCATGCTTCAGATCCATACAATAGCACGGGTAGTATCAACGTCTTGTAGAGTATGGTTGGGTCTACTTGGACTTCAGCTTAGTCTTCTCACCATTTACTGCTAGTTACACTTTGGCAGACTCCTTCTCAATTCGTTCAAAGTTCTATATCGACAAACTGTCGCCTTGTCTAATTCCTCTTTCGGTATTGAAGGGCTCCGATAGGTCCGTTCCGACTTTAACTGCTTACCTTGTGCCAGTAAAATTTATCCTGCATATTTGGTATTTGGCGCAGTATGAAAATCTGATCTATAGTGGAATTTTGATGCAAGGTATAAAAAGTTCGGCCCGGCCAACATTAGGAGGTTTCAGAGAAGAATAAACCGTCGGCATATAATGTCTCGTATCATTTGAAATATTTGCAGATCCCTAGACCCATTTTTAGTTATATTCAATACCCATCTCATAGTGAAAAAAATTGTCTGTAGTGTATCCTGATTTAAATCAACTCTTGAAATTTTGTGAACCAAAAAGAATTAATTAAGCTAAATCTTAATCAGTATACATATTACTGTGGGTTATAATAACAAATTTAGGATATCACAGGCTTTTGAACATTCCTTACCGTTTTTATTTCTTTATTTTAGAATTGGTGTTCGTCTAGGCGAACACGACATATCTACAGTACAGGATTGCATGAAGACGGGACCAAAGATAAAGTGTAATCCACCGGTGGAAGATTTTGGCATTGAAAATATTGTAACACATCCTGAGTACAACAAACGGAAACATGTCAATGATATTGCTCTAATCAAGCTGGATCGTAATGTTGAATTTAAAAGTGAGTACAAATTGTTTTCAAATATATTATTCTCAAGTAAATATTTTTGTTTTTTTTTTAATTATAACTTATTTATGTTATACATGTTTGTCATTTTATTTTCCACAGAACACATTGAACCAATTTGTCTGCCCATTAATGTGAATGTTGTTCAGACACGACCAGAGGATCATTTTCTAATTGCCGGTTGGGGTTTTACCGAAAGAGGTATGTAACAACGATATATATTTGTAAGAAATTTTAATAATATATATATATATATATATTTTTTTTTTTGCAATTTCATTTTTCAACAGGCAGTACATCAAACATTCTACTTAAAGCCCAAGTCACCCAATTACCCGTCTCGACGTGTAGCGTTAAATATTCAATTGAATTGAGTGAAACGCGTCATTTGTGTGCCGGTGACGACGTAATTGGCAGTGACACTTGTAGCGGTGACAGTGGTGGTCCATTGATACAATTCGGTCCATATAAAGATAAAAAGCGTTTTATACAATACGGCGTGGTGGCATCGGGACGTAATGCTTGTATATTGAATCAAAATTTGCCGGGTGTCTATACGAATGTTAGCAATTTTATGCCATGGATAACACATCATATTGTGCGCTGAAAAAAAAAAAAACATTTACATTTCAACAAATAAAGATTATACGATAACACAATTACATTAATTACAAAATTTTGTAAATTTTTTATAGTACAACAATATAACGTTGTTGTTATTGTTGACCTGTGATATGTTAGTTTTTGTGGATTTTGTTGGGCTGTAGGTCAATTGAAAAATCGTTAGTTTTCTTTTTTTTTTTTTGTTTTTTTTTTATTTTCCAATATTAAGACAGTCTTCGGCAGTCATCTTCAGGGAAATAAGCGTCGAGAAATGCAACCGATTTTTATCAACGTCTATGCTAAACAATGAAGATTCGACATAGTGAATAATTCTAACTACAATGATAGTCTAAAGAGAATACTGAGCTGGAAATTATTAATGCCCTCTCTCATATTATGTCGACTCTGAGATACCATTGTAAAGAGAACATAATTATTAAAGCAAACAGGTTACGTTAATTTAATTCTCTAACATTAATGAGTCGGAGTTACAAATCACGTGTTTCCGTAAAGGACAGCACAGGATAATACAAAAATTAACTTGTGTGTGTATAATACATTTAATATATCCGCATATGTTTAACCATACTAAAGCAATTAAATGTTGTATTGGCCATTGACTACATGGCACTAGTAATATACCATTAGTTACGTCCCTAACTTATTAGTTAAAACGAATAGAAGTAAAACAGACGTTAAGTTCGACCTGGACGAAATTTTTATACCAATCGTTCGGAAACTTCATAAATGGCGCGCTCTTTTGTGGCACATTTTTGGAGGAAGATTTGACACCCAATGAGAACCAATCCGGCTAAAAAACGTGCCAAAAATACCGAATAATGGTACCTAACTATCACTTTTTTTGGATGTATTGATAGCTTTTGTAATGCTACTAGCTGCTCTTTGTCAAAAGATAACATCTAAAATGAATTCTCAACCACCACCAACTAAATGCGAAAAAAATAAAATCGGATTATATAGGGCTACATCAAAGCCGAGTCCAGAAGAATAATCCCTTTTTTAGACACGAAACTTTGCAATGGCTATTGACTTGACATTAAAAAAAATTAAAGCCTTGGATTTTTTAAAAAATTTTTATAGCCTCATGGCAGACTATAAGGCGTGAATTTTTTTAAACAATTTTTAAAAACAATTTTTATAGCCTCATGGCAGACTATAAGGCGTGGATTTTTTAAACAATTTTATAAGCCTCATGGCAGACTATAAGGCGTGGATTTTTTAAAGAATTTTATAAGCCTCATGGCAGACTATAAAGCGTGGATTTTTTAAACAATTTTATAAGCCTCATGGCAGACTATAAGGCGTGGATTTTTTAAACAATTTTATAAGCCTCATGGCAGACTATAACACGTGAATTTTTTAAGCAATTTTTATAGCCTCATGGCAGACTATAAGGCGTGGATTTTTTTAAACAATTTAAAAAGCCTCTTGGCAGACTAGAAGACGTGGATTGTTTTAAACAATTTTATAAGCCTCATGGCAGACTATAAAGCGTGGATTTTTTAAACAATTTTATAAGCCTCATGGCAGACTATAAGGCGTGGATTTTTTAAACAATTTTATAAGCCTCATGGCAGACTATAACACGTGAATTTTTTAAGCAATTTTTATAGCCTCATAGCAGACTATAAGGCGTGGATTTTTTTAAACAATTTAAAAAGCTTCTTGGCAGACTAGAAGACGTGGATTGTTTTAAACAATTTTTATAGCTTCATTGCAGAATCTAAGACTTCGATTTTTTAATATTTTGTATAGAATCATTGCAGAATCTAAGCCTTGGATTTTTAAACTACTTGTATAGCCACATTGCAGAATCTAAGACGTGGCTTTTTTAAATCCACGGCTCTAAAACGTGGATTTTTTAAACAATTTTTATAGCCTCAATGCAGGTTCTAAGGCGTACATTTTTTAAACAAGTGTCAAATTTTATTCAAATCCCTTCAGATTTAAATATAGCTCCCATATATACTTTTGTGAAATTTTATGTTATAATGTACAGTAGTACCATTCACTAGTGGCTACTTTGGTATTTCCCTTAATTGTTGTCCTTATTATCTTGCGCTTCCTGACCTAATAACGCTTTCATTGTTGTGGTAAGCGATTGGTTCGTTGACATTTATTTTGGTGTTGGGTATTAATTGAAAACAAAACAGAAAAATTTGGCTAACAAAACAGTTATGGAAATTCCATTAACTAGTTGCCAACAACGAACGTTACCGGAAGATGAACTGGAAGGAAAAACTGAAAATTATACCGAAAATGTGAGAGAGAAAAATACAAAAAAATCGAAATATTAAATAATCAAAAAATTTCAGGATTTTCTATTTAACATTTGTGGGGATTGCAATGCCATTGTATTTAAATATCAGCACGGGTTTATATAATAATTTTCAAACCACTAAGATATCATTTAATTTGGATACGTTGTTGTAAGTAAAGAAATAAATTTCAGCAATTAAATTCCTGATTTTATAAAATGTTCCTTTTCTCCATGGAAGTTTAAATTGGAATACCTCCTTTCCGGCCGTGACTGTATGTGAGTTGTATAATGGTGAAAAGTTATGGGATCTGAGTGAACAATATTTCGGTGTCGACCATGATTTGCTGTTGGACGATGTGGTTGGTGAAATTGTCTATTTTCAAGGTAGCTGCACCTCGTGTGACGCTTGTGAAAGTCAAAATATAACATGTCCACGGAATTTTACGCAATTGCTGTCGATGGTAAGTTATTGTTCTTTTTTTCGGAGCTTCCAAAATATTGTGGGACATCACCATCACCTAATTTTGGTACAGGGTATCTCTGTATCTGTATGTAACATGCCGAAGGAAATAAAATATGCCCGAAGTTATTTTAAGGGATATACTTAATTGTTTTTAAACGATTTACGAATGACCATTCCTATGTCCAGGTAGTTATATATCCTTCATCAAAAGACGAAATGTGTGTTAAATTTTACATTCCGTTTGCAACCTCTCCAAATTTTCTTCGGAGGCCCGTAGAATAAAATTCTGTGTTGATTTAGCAATGACCGTCTGTCATTTGAAATCCCGATAGAGATCGCTGTATTCAAGATAGTGCTTTGGAAATACTCCTAGAAGATGTGGTTTTGACATAGACTCAATATACTGTTACCTATACAATATAAGCATTTTAAAGGTTTTAGCCACATTTCCACATCGAAGTGATATAATTAGGTAACTTACGTTTTTTGAGGGGTTAGTTTTAAAATAGTCTCCATATATAGATATTTTGACGATTTAAGCATAATTTTCTCACCGGATTGGCTATAATGAGGAATTGTGGGTTATTTTAGGGTGAAAATCATCTTTCTATATATTTTTTTCGATATAGGAATAGTCTCCATATAAAGATCCCACCGCTATGATTTGAAAATCATTGTTCTTTGAAAATAAAATTCGAGGGTGTTGGTCTATGTTTTGAGTAAATGTCCCGCCAGGTTTTCGATATTTTTAAGGCTTATGCCGATTTTTTCCCGCAGAGTGGAACGAATTTTGCATGTGCGGTGTATATAAGTTCAGATCTCCTTTATAATCCGCTTGTCATCAAATTTGGCACGGCTCATATAATTGAACGAATGTAAACAAATTGGTAAAAATCTGTTCAGATTATAGCTCCCATATATAATTTCGAATGGGGTTTATAGTCAGCGAATAGACGGAATGTGTCGATGAGTTTTTCGTGGGTCTTTTCCATAATTTGGCGCAGAGTGAAAATCTGGTCTATGGTATGGTAGATTTGAAAATCATCTTTCTATATATTTTTTTCGATATAGGAATAGTCTCCATATAAAGGTCCCACCGCTATGATTTGAAAATCATTGTTCTTTGAAAATAAAATTCGAGGGTGTTGGTCTATGTTTTGAGTAAATGTCCCGCCAGGTTTTCGATATTTTTAAGGCTTATGCCGATTTTTTCCCGCAGAGTGGAAAGAATTTTGCATGTGCGGTGTATATAAGTTCAGATCTCCTTTATAATCCGCTTGTCATCAAATTTGGCACGGCTCATATAATTGAACGAATCTAAACAAATTGGTAAAAATCTGTTCAGATTATAGCTTCCATATATAATTTCGAATGGGGTTTATAGTCAGCGAATAGACGGAATGTGTCGATGAGTTTTTCGTGGGTCTTTTCCATAATTTGGCGCAGAGTGAAAATCTGGTCTATGGTAGATTTGCCAGGTCTGAAGCCACATTGGTGTGGTCCAATAATGTCATTGGCTATGGGATGGGAAAATACTAATTCCTCCTCGAGTTGCCGTGTTGTATTAGCCAATCAGATTCGTTGCTTGAAATCTATCATGCCCTACGTCATAGCTTCCATACGATTTAATTCAATTGTTGCACCAAAGATCCCAAGTTTGTTAGATTGGCACGAAATTTCTCAGAGCTCCCTGAATCCAGAATGTTCCCTTTAAATCGGTTCAGATTTCAATATAGATTTCATCGTAGTTTACATAAATGGCGTCCAATGACCCAAGTTTGTTCGATTTACAAGAAATTTTACGTGGTACGAAATTCAGTTTAGAATGACATGTGTCAAGTCTGTATTAAATTGGTTCAGATATCGATATATAAATGCTGTACATCCTACGTATTTCCGAATGACATGATTTTTTTGGATATTCTTCCGAATTAATTATAAATATTTTGATCATTTTACTATTGGTTTCAATTATGTATTTAGAACCTTTTCTATTTTCATTTAGTTTCGCAGCAACTGTACGGAATTGATTGGAAATTGCAAATACAACAACAATTTTATTGAATGTTGTGACCACTTCCAACCACTGCGAACTGAATATGGACTCTGTTTCGCCTTCAATTCCAATCAAGCCAAGTAAGTTTGTTTTATTATTCTTCCTACAATCGTACGTATTTATTTCCTTTCGTATATTATAGCAAAATTTCCGAAATCCAATATATAAATAATCGTGAAGTGGGCGCCGGCTTCCTAACCTTTGAAGTAACTGCTGATATACAATTATTTCTACACTCACCCTTTGAAATACCATTTCTCACGGCAGAGGGTATGATCCGCGAAACGGTGCTCTTGGGTTTGAATAAAGAAATTATTATCACTGCCATGGAAGTCTACAATCATCCCAGTTTGGATAGTATTGATATGGAGGAACGGAAGTGTCGTTTCTTTACCGAGCTTACTGAATTAGGGAGGCATTTGGAACTCTATAGTTTTTATAGTTTCTCGACATGTGTGGTGGAATGTGCATTTTCGATACATTTGAAATTCTGCAATTGCAGTAATCATTTTTTGGCAAAGGAAGGTAAACCGCAATGAAGTTTTAAAATTATATTTTTTATTATATCAATTTAATATTGTCTATATTTCAGGATCACCTCACTATCATATGTGTGACTATGAGGGACTTATGTGTCTAACCGATTTTTATTATGATATATTGGAGGAACGTCGCCAGTGTGATTGCCTCAGTCCTTGTGATGAACCAGAATATAATATTATATTTAATTCAGAAGGGTATAGTGTGGCATTTTAATTTTATTATTTAATCAAATTATTTTTAAAAATATTTCATATTTTTTAGAAGTGGCAAGAGAAAAAAGGATATGACCAAAATACGTATTGCTTTGGCGGAATTACCAACCATGCGCTATGTGCGAAAAGTTTCGAAAACTAATTTGGATTTATTAAGTAAGTTTCTTCATAATTAAATACATGACTGGAGGACAATAGCTACTGAAAGTGTAGGAGAGGTGTCATTATATATATGATATATTAACAGGACCTATAATAATACCGCATAATTCGATTGAAAACCATGGCCAAAATTCCAACAGTTGCGCTTTTCCTAAACCCGAATATATATAACACATTTTCCAACTACTAGTTCAATTCGTTTAGTGCCTAGAGACAGACGAAGCGCCTATATAGACTGAGAATACAAATTTTTCAATATATTTTTATGTATAGAACGCTCTCCCTAGGACACTGAGTGGCTTGTTAGGGGTATACTTTTACAGTCGATATCTGTTGGGTAATTTACATATTTTAATACACATTCATAATATTACATGTTTGCATTTATTTAATTAGAACACAGATTGAATCTGTTCTGATTTGTATTCCATACATGTTTTCTAATCATACATTTTGTTTCTATTCTTTTCAGTTTCTCTTGGAGGATTGGCTGGTCTATTTTTCAACGTTTCACTAATACGCATTGTCGAAGTGATATTTCTCTTGTGGGAATACAGATGGAGAGTAATTTTTAATTATTTTAAATAACATTTAAGTTAATGAGTATAGACAACATTATATTTGTGTATATTAAATTCTAGTTAATATATATTTGATGTTGCATTAGTATTATTTATATTATTAGTACATTTTATAATATATATAAAATTTAATTTTAAAAATAAATATTCAGTTAGTAACTTTTCTAAATAAAGTAAACAATTATAATGAATCTGGATGGAAATTCCTAACGGAACACGTAAATCCTATACAAAGTCCAAAGATGGGATCTATAGGTCCACTCCTTCGGGTATCTCTCCCACAGAGAATTTAAAATTTCACAAATATAATATTAAGCGAACGATTCGACGCAAAACTCTGCACATAATCGTATTTTACCAATTCTAAATCAAGTTCGAAGATGGGACCCATCGGTCCATTCCATCTTATCACGAAGGGTCAACATTTTAAGAATTTGTTAATCTAATAACAGCTGTATGGAATTTCCGATTTGATACAAAATACGCACATTGTAATATTTCTTTCAAACTTAAAATAATCATCACTTATCTACGATATTGTGCATGACCCTCTGGTTTCAGTTTTTGTTAGAGATGGACTTTTTATGGATTTGTATTGGTCAGAAATAATTAAAACCAGAGCTCCGAAATGCTCGCTCGAATTCGAATAAAGAGTGAAACTCGCTCGAATTCGAGCGGGAGTACTCCTCAGGGCTGCCAGATTTTTTTTTGGGAAAATCGTCAAAATGACGATTTTTTTATCAAAAATCGTCAAAAATTTAAATACGCACATTTAGATATATTTAAATATATCTTTTTATTAAAAGGAACATAAAAAAGGTATTCAATTTATTAAACACGTTTTTTAAAGCTAATCAAGAAATTTATTTATTTTATAAATAAATATTTGAATAGTCATTTCGACTTTAATAAAGTCATTCGTTTTGAAAAGAAATATTTGTGTTAATCATTTTCAACATGTCGGTTTTAATTAACGTATCATAACAATTTGTTTTGTTAACTTTTAAATAATCTTTGGTATAAATTTCTCCATTGATTCCTTATTGGGGGAATTTCGACTTTTCGTTTTATTAAGATTTACTTGGCTGAAAACACGTTCAACATTTGCTGAGGAATGGGGTAATACCATTACCTTCCGTACAAATTTAGTTATTATAGGAAAAACATATGAACCATCACCACGTTTCAAATCAAATATTGCATTCCAAAAACGAAATAACCTTAGTTCGCGAAATTCTGAATCCAATTTTTGTTTTTCATCTTCGTTCACAAAATGTGGATATCCATAAGGATAATCGAAAAATGAATTATTCTTTTCATTACTAATATACGTGGGACTTATCATATATACAATTTTAAAAATGCTTTCAAATCGAATCTTCTTAAAATTGTAATAACTTTGTATAAATTAAAACTTAAATTTAATATAACAACTTTTCCGTTCAAAAATGTTCTTTTATTTGCCCGTGTCAAAAAACAACAACCATTAACTTTTATTTGTTTTGTTGCTGTCTACCCAGAGAACGGCACAGCTGATTGGTAGTTTTTCATATATCTGGGTAAACGTAAACTGTTGTTGGCTTTGTAACAATACAAAGTATACCTCACACACATATGCCAAATATTCATATTCTTTTTACTTTTTCTTTCGCTTTATACATTTTTGATGTTGTCATAACAAAAACGAACCCAAATATTGCAATATTACTAAAATGACCAAAAATCGTCATTTTTTCGGCAAAAATCGTCAAATCGTCATTTTTAAATTTTTGACCAAAAAATCGTCAAAATGACGATAAATCGTCAAATCTGGCAGCTCTGGTACTCCTGCGAGTAGAAAAAGTAAATAGAGTTTGCTCTATTTTTCTCTGTCACTCAAATAAGAGCGGAGGTGCTTCGCTCGTTTTCGAGTGGGAGTGAAATACGCTCGAAATCGAGCAGATTACCCTCTTGCCGAGTACTCTTTTATTATAATTTTTTTTTTTTTTGTGATACCGTTGTTTTACTTGATGTTGTTTGTGTGCATTGTTTGTTTGCTTTGTGATGTTTGGTTTGCAGTACTGCTGGGAAAGCATGCATCAACAAGCTCGTTTTCTGCGTTCTCTTTATGTAAGTCATTTCATTTTTGTAATGATCTACCTCCCCACACACACAAATAACCAAACAACCAAATTTATTTGTCCACTCGATTTCACTCTTAGAGTGAACTCTTACTCTATTTCGAACGTTTTCTCTCACACTTTTTTTCTTCAACAAGGAGTACTCGCGAGCACTTCCAAACAAAATAAAAGAGTGGAGAGTATACTCCCTAAAAAACTCGTACTCTTTACTTACTCCCGCTCGGGAGTATTTTTCACTCGCGAGTAAAATCGAGCAAATCGGAGCTCTGATTAAAACATAACTATGAATGGAAATTTGGAAAATTTTGGGGGATTTATTGATTAAATCATTTATTTATTGTTGGTTTTTTATTTTCGATACCTATTACAACTACGTTCAATAGTTTTTATCGAACACTAACATATATCTGCTACTTCGCGAATGTGGGTACTTTTTAGACATGTATTATGTTGTTTTCTGTGAAAACTGCATAAGTCAAAAGAGCTAATCAAATTACATACCAATATCGACCATAGTTAAAATGTTAATGCCATTTAGTATATCCGTTCTCTTATATTACGTATTTCCAAAACTACCTCCATGTCTTAACAGTATCCACCAATTCTGACCGCAACAGAAATCTATCTCTATACTAAATTTGGTACCATTTCTTACCTTTGGTGCTCTTGTTGTGCTTACTTCCAAAACTAATTCCAAATTTCATGATTCGAAGTCTATAGGTTCAACCAAATCCAAATTTAGAACCTACCTCAGCAATATAAATCGAAATCATATATTCCAGCCCGATTTCAGGATTCCAGCCCAATTGAACCAAATTTAGTGCCCTCTTAGTTCACATATGTACGAAATTCCATCGTTAACCTAAATCCAAATTTAGTACTAATTAGTACCCACAAGTACAAATTTCCAAAACTATATCCCTACTCCAATCTTACACTCCAAAAGTAATTTTTATTCAGAATTTCATGATTCCACCTCTATCGGATGAACTAAGTCCAACTTGTAATAAATTTAGTACACATGCGTAAAATTTCATACATCATACAATCCAATAGGAATCTTATTTCCCAATTTCAGGATTCCAGGCCTACCGGTTCGTCCAAAATCAAATTGTATCAAATTAATACCATTTAGTACATATTATTAGAAATTTCCAAAACTTCCTACCTACCCTAATCCTACACCCCAAAAGTGATTCTAACTCCAAATTTCAGGATTCCAGCTCTATCGGTTTATCGAAAATTCAAATTGTACCGAAGTTAGTATACATAAATACGAATTTTCTAAACTTCCCATTTACCCCATACCTACATTCAAGCTCTATCGGTTCACCTAAATTCAAAACAAGTTTATTGCTCTTCCAATTTCAAATTATACTAAATTTAGTACTCTTTAGTGTTTTTCGTATACATGAGTACACATTTCCAAAACCACCCTTTATATCGACCCTACCTCTCAACCTTAATTCACATTCCAAATTTCAAGTTTATAGCTCTATTCATTTACATGCTACGAAATATAGTCCCTCTCTCTAGATCTACCGGTTGGCCAATACAAATGGTACCATATTTAGTACTTTTTCGTGTCGTTCTAATACGAATTTCCAGCCTTTTCTGACACCTTCGGACCAAGAATGACCCTCATCCCTGGGCGTTGTTGAATTGTTATGTCGGTCACTCACGTTACTATTTTAGGAATACATATTTCGACGAAATGTAGACGATATCGAATGCGGACATACGAAATTGAAATACATAAACAAATCTATATCGACTTTCATAATTTGCCCCCCTTAGTTCAACATATGTCGAATTAAAGTCCCATTCTTTTGAAGCCACGAAACGGATAACAATTTACAATCTAATTGTGAAGAGTAAAAATCGAAGTACAATGTTAATTACTCAAAAAAAAAAGTAAGAACAGAGATTGAGGTATATTACGGATTTTGGTAATATATGGAAAATAGAGTACCGAATATATGTACGTGTCTGGTAGTAAAAAAATACAAAAGCCAAAGTATGTAAATAAGAAACTGAATTTCTATATTAATTACAATATTTGTAAATAAATAGCAACTAAAATACAATATACATACACAAATAAAATATTGTCCCCAAACATTTATATTAATTAAACCATTTAATTTTATTATCTTTTCAATATCATTAATGGCATTCAACAATGCTTTGAGCTATTGGACATACATATATAATTATATTTTACAATTGTCATTAACAACCTTGACTTTTCTTCCAAATAAAATTTCAATTCACTCTATAACAATCTCTCTAAATTGGAAACTTAAAACTTAATAAAAATGTATTAATGATTAATAGATAAAGTCACTTGAGGAAATTGAAGTGGTCTCGCTGATGTTTTTGTTGTTGCTGCTGCTGCTGTCGTTTTACATAAATGCGCTGCATCATTACCCTGCATTTCATTCATCATATCGTGCTGCTTCAATGCCACGATTGCATTTGGACTTTTATTCTTAACTTATACTAATTTTCTCTGCTTGCAGTATGGGAGCGGCATATGATGGTGCTGATGCTGCAGGTCCCGTCGCTGATATGCCACCCTGTTGTTGTTGTGGCTGTGGCGTTACAAACTGTAGGAAAGTTTCAATGTACGAGGGCAAATAGAAATAACTAGAAAATATCACCAAAGATAGAATAACAGCAACAAAACCGTCTAGAATGGAAGGGGAAAAATAGGGGAGTGAGTTATTGTAAACAATTTTATTTATTTTTGCATACTTATCAGTTTCTTTTCCCATGGCTCAAACATATAGATATTGGTCACCAGTTCATATTGCAGGTACAGGTTTATCAATGACTTCTTCAAAAATTGCAACATTCTGTTTGTGTCGTCGCTTTTTGCACTTTAGTAAAATAACTTTTATTCGTGTTGTTGTAGATTTGAAATGTTCTCCTTTGTTTTGTATACAAAATAAAATAATAACACTTATCAACTTATCAGCAGTTTACCAAAGTTATGTCCGTCCGAATCGTTTGCTGGCTGTTGAGTTGAGTGACGTTCTTTGCTCTTATGCTGCGCCTTCAGCTGAACTAATCGACCTATTCTAAAAACGTTTCGCATGCTAAGAATAGGGGGAAAGAGAGAGAATTGCTGATAAAAACAAAATCGAAACAAAAATTGAAGACATCTCTGTTGTTTACGAATGTGAATGTAAACTATGACGACGTGACACCTGTGTGATGTTTAGAGGTAGAATTCACGGCACAATAAACAGCTGACTTTTCGATTAAGTGTCAAAGTGCGTAGCATGGCACAAGAAATAGGTAGTCCCTTTAGCGCATCTGTTGTCTTGATTAACTGTCAAAGTGTGTAATTTCTACTTGAATTCGATGTGCAATGTTGCCAACCATGTGAAATATTATTAGGAAAATGTGACAGATGTTCGAGACAAAAACAAAGATTCTGTTCCCGAACTGCAAGAATCTACTAGTTTTTATTTTTTTTCGATATCGTAAAAAAAGAAAATTTGTTATCATAGTAAAAAGGAGTAGATTCTTGCAGTACCGGAACAGATCACTTATTGTTGCATCATGGTGTGTAGTTTCTACTTGAGTTCGATGTGCAGTGTTGCCAACCATGAGAAATATTAGGTTTGTCTGGTTATTTTTCCAGTAACATTTACTCAGTAAGTTCTAGTTCAGAGAGCAAGCCGTTCTTACTCTCTTTTTTGCGATAATACTGAGAAATATTTAGTAAGATTCAGCAAATTAACAGCTGATTCAAGAAAACAATTTTATTTGCGCCAAAATAAACAAAAAAAGGACGAAACAATTATTTGTATTGCATTTAATATTAAAAATAAAATGAACAATAAAAGAAATAATGATTTGGTATGTTCCTCGAGAACATTTAAGCTTCCTGCAAAATTTTTGCATAACTTTTGTGTTTGATCATAAAACAGCTGATACAAAAATGGCTGAGTTTGCAAAATCTTACTCCATAAAATTCTTGCAGTAAACTCCAGTAAGTTTGTTAAATGTTGTAAAGTCGGACGGGACCGACTATATGATACCATTCACCACTTTGGGTATATTCAACAGATGAATCCTAATAGACGTCGCATTTTAAAAGGACCAGTAAAATGAAATTGGATCCATAAAAATGTCATTCTGCAACATTTACTAAATTTTTCATTTGGTCAGATATAGAAGCTATATCTTAATCTGAACCGATTTTCAGGAAACTTAACACACATCATTCTATATTAACACATCATTCTATATTCAAATTTCGTGCAAATCGAAAGATATATGGGGATTTTGGTACACCATTTACATTAAATCGTACGAAAATATATATGGGAGATATATCTAAATCTGAACCGATTTTGAGGAAATTTAACACACATCATTCTAGACCTCATTCATTACGCCGTGCTAAATTTCGTGCTAATCTAGAGATATATTGGGAGGTGCACCATTTACATTAAACCGGTCGAAAATATATGTGGGAGCTATAACTAAATCTGAAGCGATTGGGCCAAATTTCATCCAAATCGGATCATAAATGCGACCTGTACTTTGTTCACAAAAATACATGGACGGACGGACAGACGGGCATGCGTAAATCGACTCAGAAAGTGATTCTATGCATATTCTCAAAAGGAACCATGTGTCTATCTCGTTTCCTTTTGCCTGTTACAAATATATGCACAAAGACATAATACCCTGTACCACAGTGTGGTGAAGAGTATAAAAATGTCAACCAAAATTTGCCGATAAGATTCGTTTCAAGAGTTATTAATAAGGTCACCCAGCTAGGGAAAGTCAGCTGTTTTCTCTCAAGCCTAATGTCAAAAATTTGGCTTTTGTTTACGTTTTTATAATGGAAGTCAAATCACAATAATGGATTTTGACAGCAAACTTAAAAGGCAACAGATATCCAGCTGGCCTCCCTGGACGACCTTGTTTGTAGGCCATGATTTGCTTCTTATACGACCTGTTTAATGGAGCTTATACATAGTTTTCAACATTATGCAATAATAAACCTTAATAATAATCTTTGTTTTTGTCTCAAACATCTGTCAAAATGTTCCTTATAAAATTTGTCATGGTTGGCAACATTGCACAACGAATTCAAGTAGATATTACGCACTTTGACAGTTAATCGAGTCATCAGCTGCGCTAAATGGATTATCCATGATGCAATAATAAGGTGATGTATCAAAACAAAAGCCATTGTTTTTGACTCGATTATCTGTCAAATTTTTCCTTATAATATTTCACATGGTTGGCAACATTGCACATCGAATTCAAGTAGATCAAGATCTATTAATGTCACCAAGGTAGCAATCAAAATCGGATAACCGCTGTTTTTTCTCAAGTCTAATGTCAAAAATTGCGACTTTGTTTACGTTTCCATAATGGAAGTCAATTCACAATAATGCATTTTGACAGCAAACTTGAGAGGTATCGATTATCAGCTGGTCTCCCTGGGTGACCTTATTTATAGGCCATGAAGTAGATATTACGGACTTTGACAGCTGCTCTCAATGGAGTACCTATTTATTGTGTGTCATGGGACTAACCAAGATCTATTAATAAGTCACCCAGCTAGCAAATGTCAGCTGTTAATTCTCAAGTCTAATGTCAAAACTTTGGACTTTGTTTACATTTTCACAATGCAAATCAATTTACAATAATTTTCTCCCAGGGTGTCCTTATTAATGGAATGGAAAATGGAACTTCCTATTTATTGTGCCATTGTTTTCAACTTGAATCCCACGTGCAATGTTGACAACCATTATTTGAATTTGGCGAAAATGTGTTAAAAATAAATAATAAAAATAGAATTAGTATGTTCAGAATATTTAAATTTTCATCCACATTAATTCCCAAAAAGAAAAAAACCAAAAAAAAAAAAACACATTTCATATATAAAACATATTTTTTATTACTGACAAAATAAATAGCAGGACATTAAAAAATTATTATCAGCAAACATTTCTTAATTACACATATGAAAAAACTTAAAAACAAAACTAAAACTACAAAATTGCAATTTATTAGCACATTAAAATAACGATTACAATGCGAATTAATTATTGAGCTTATATTTGTAGAAAAAATTAACAAAAATTAGAATATTTTAAAAATCTTTTACATGTATATACTATTTGAGATTTTTTCAACTAATTAAAAATAATTATTGTGTGTCATATAATATCTAAAATACATTTACTTATTTACATTTCGTATATATTCAGTTGTTAAGTTTTTCTCTTTTAATTATATTTAGTAAATGATACACACTTTAAGCGTTTCTTATTGTTGTAATTACTATACTATACTATTATTATTAATTTTCTTTATTTTAATAATTTATATACATATTTTAAAAATCAATTATTATAAAATGATAATAGTTTTCTTAAATTATTTTTAATATCACACTGTGTAGGATTTTAAAAAGTTGGGATTTTGTTCAGTTATATGTTTATACTATAAGTAATATTATTTATTTGTTAACATAAGTATATTTTCGTTCCTTATTTTTTATGGGAATACATTTTTTATACAAAAATTATATAAAATGTTATATTTTATATAATTTGAAATAAATGGCTTAATCATAAAAATAATCCAATTATAATTATTACTGATGCCATCAGACCCCGGGTAACACAATAATATTATAGTTTTATTTTTCAGTTCCGACTTCTATAAATGCACTTCGTTAGCGAGGATTTATTAAAAATGTTATTTTTTTTAATATTTGTAAATAATTTGTTTAGTGGATTCAGTCAATAAACAATATTTATTGAAATATTTGAAATTGAATTGATAACACAAAATGAAATTCTACTCAAAAATATATGAAAAAAAGTGAAAGGACCTATAGATTCCATTTTCGAATTTATTAAATGTTTTGTAAAAAACCAAGACCTATTAATAAGAACATCCAGGGAGACCAGCTGGATATCAGCTGCCTTTCAAGTTTGCTGTCAAAACCCACTATTGTGAATTGACTTCCAATCTGAAAACGTAAACAAAATTCAACTTTTTGACATTAGACTTGAGAAAAAACAGCTGTCTGGATGATTTCGCTAGCTGGATGACCCTTTTAACAGATTTTGGTTAAAACTATCACGATTTGTGAAGTTTAAATAACACAATTGTGATTTAATTTATTTTTGAATCGACCTAATTCTGTCTTGAAAATTCAAACGTAATTACAATAACAAAACTGGATAGAAGGTTTTTAGATCTTAGAGTTTAAGATGAGATAAGAAGTTTTTTTCTTTAATTTTTTGAGTTGAAATTTTGTGAATATCATGTTTGTATCAATCAAATTCGTTAAGAACTTTCTTCTTTAGAACACGTCTTGTTTTCTGTTCATATAAATTGAGATCAATGCAATTCAATAGAGCTACAACTAATTTATATGTATGTATTTTAAGTAGTTTCGGAAATTATATTTTTATATATAGGTCTGCGAATTTTTGCAAAATTTGAAAATTTTCAAATAAGTAAATTGTAATTAAAAAAAGAAATATTAACGTCATAATGATTTTAATTCTAAAAATTTATATTTAGTATAAATTCGAACGTCATAGTATACACCATAACCACACCCAAAAGCGGATGGGTGCGCTAAATGGACTAAATAGTAATCCATTTAGCGCAGCTGACGATTCGATTAACTGTCAATTTGCGTAGTTTCTACTTGACCAAGGCCTGTAAATAAGGACGTTCAGAGAGATCAGCTGACTCTCAAGTTTGCTGTCAAAATCCATTATTGTGAATTACCTTGCAGTATAAAAACGTAAACAAAGTCCCAATCATAATGCAATAATAAGGTGATGTATCACAACAAAAACTTTTGTTTTTGTCTCGATCTTCTGTCAAATTTTCCATATAAAATTTCAGATGGTTGGCAACTCTACACATCAAATTCAAGTAGAAATTACGCACTTTGACAGTTAATCGAGACATCAGCTCAGCTAAGTGGACTACCTTTTTATTGTGCCATGGTCCCAATTTGGGACATTAGACTTGAGAAAAACAGCTGTATTTTGCTTGCTTGTAAATCTCGTATTTGAATTAGATGTACCATGTTGCCAACCATGTGAAATATAATTGGAAAAAAAATTGACAGATGGTCCGGACCATGGCACAATGAATAGGTAGTCCATTTAGAGCAGCTGATGCCTTGATTACCTGTCAAAGTGGGTAATTTCTATTTGAATTCTATGTGCAGTGTTGCCAACCATTTGAAATATTATATGGAAAATTTTGACAGATAATGGAGACAAAAACAATGGTTTTATTGTGATACATCACCTTATGTGATGTATCAAAACAAAAGCCTTTCGACCATCTGTCATAAATAAATAACCAAGTTAGCGAAGAGCTTCGGGATCGAGTTTGCCCAACTCTTCAAAACACATTAGATCGAATAGGGGCTAAAATACAGCAATTTCTAGGATCTTCAAAACGCTTTAAAGGGGCTTTAGATTGTGGCTATGTGAAGTATATGGTCTTTTAATACTAGGTTTGAGCTTTACTTGGGGGCTTATGCACAGTCGATATTGTCGGTTTTATACGAAATACAATTACATATCGTTTTTTAATATTGCTTATAACAAACAAATTTCCTTCCTTCGTTATATGAGATTTCGCCAAAAATTCCTAATCTCAACTTCGCAGACCTCTTCTATGATTTTTTTTTTTCTAACAGTTCTAGCTAGCATCACATTAAAAATAGAAATACTTATAGATTTAGTTCCATTATTTTTTAGCACAAACACTTTGAGTGAGCGTTAACTAAAACCCCCTTACCAACCCCATTTTTTTACCACACACAAAACGGGGTTGATCGGGAGCAGGCTTGCCTCAACACTATACCAGAACTGTTAGAATTTCCGAATCATCTGTTAGCGTAGCCGTAGATGTTGTGGACATTGTTGCCACCGGTGTTATCTGTGGTGTCACTGTGGCCACCGGTGGTGTTTGCACGGGCATTGCTCTACAATTTATTGAACGTTTACCGAAATCTTTACGTGGACTATCTATTGAACCCACTGTGTTCTTTTTCATATCGGAATTTTGTGTTTTATGCAGAAGTATTTGTGATGTACGTTTTGTTTGAAATTCCTTGGATTTTTGTGTTGCCTCCAGATCACAATCGAAATTTGATTCTGGATATTGGGGTTGAGTGCTACGACTATGGTGTACACCACCTGATGTTGTGGATGTTGAGGCGGGACTGACACTGGCAATTTCTGGTGATGGATTTAAACTCAACTCCATACCATTAACACGTCCCAGTGATGAAGTGCTAACCTTAAGAGGATTGGTGTAACGTCGTAGATTTTCTTCATTCTGTAAATTGTTGGATTTTTCTTCATCGTGTCGGAGGGGGTCTTGGGATGTTGCCATATTTATACCGGAATTGGAGTTCATGACCATACGTTGACGCCAAAATAGGCTGAGGAATATTGCCAGGCCCACAAGGACTATGAAAATACCACAGAGCATGCCAATCAGCAAGTTGTTGCTATTCCCCTCGGCAATTAGAGCTGTTTCGACCTTGACTTCGAGGATTGATACCAAGGCAGCCAATTTTATAGAACGTAGCTCATTTTTCTGTGGCAAGTCAGTTATTTGACGTGACGATAACAGCTCACCCAATAAGGCTAATGGCAGTGGGTAATTGTGAATCATTTGCCAAGGTGGAGGACTATAAAGAAGAAGAAGAAAAAGTCAATATTATATATATTTAAATTATTTGAACTTAATCCGAACTTACCACTGTCACTTCGATGGTATCATTACTGCCGGTTTTAATATCACATATGATAATCAGCATACCCTGTTCCTTCTCCCCTCTGGGCAGTTTAACCAAACGTGATGCCAACAGAAATCTCAGCACCGAACAAAGACCCTCCACAGTGGATCCCACACCCACTCTCTGGCGATCCAATAATATTGTCAATCTAGCACAATTGTCATTGAGGACAGCTTGATTTGGCCAACAATCCGGTTTGGCTGGCAGACGTGGTGGCTCCACACGATGTGAGGGTTCCAAGGCCCGGCAATCTCCCCGCAATGCACAGGGTGCGTTAAGGCAATTCTCCGCCAGCGTGGGTACACACACCTCATATTGTTTACAAACGCCAGAGAAATTTGAAGATTTAGAACTTGAATTGGTGCGGAAACAATTCGGCAGGCCACACCACAAATTGGTACACACCGAGGTGCCATTTTCACACAAACATGCATTGCAATATTCCGACGTTTGACCGGTTAAAAGCAGCGATAAAATATCTTCGGATTTATTCAACGATGAATAAGGCGATGAGGAGGCAGAGCTACTGTTGATGCAGGATGATTTGGAATCGGAAAGTACTATAAATAAAAATAATAAATTTAATATTTTTCACATTTATTCCGCCTTCTCTTACTTACATATCTCACATCGCACACCATGACGTCCGGGTGGACATATGCATGTATAACCTCCGATACCATCAATGCAGGTGGCACCACCCTCACATGGTTGTGGTGAACACTCATTAACATTGATGCGACAATCGGGTCCTGAAAATCCTCGAGCACAAATGCAACGGAACCAACCTGATCCCGATTCACATGTACCACCATTATGACACGGTTGGCCACGACACTGATCTATCGGATCTGTACAATAAGTTCCATCCCAACCCGGTGCACAACGACACTGTGTATGTAGTCCCTTTTCGGGGGAACCGGGTACACATGTGCCACCATTTTGACACTGACCCGGATAACAGGCGGTGGCACGTTCCGAACAACGTTTACCTGGAAGAAAAAAAGTAATATATTAAAAATATATTAGAATTTCGATGTTGTGTGTGATAAAAATTATGAGATCGATGTTGATTGCTGATCTAGAATCAAGAGTGAATAACTGGTTAATAATCCTAAGATTTTATAGTTCGAACGGTCTCGACGAACTGCAGTTTAATGGTAGAATGGCGCTAACGACAAGTGTTGCCATTTTAACTGAAAATCGCAGGTACATATCTTAGATTCTTCATAATTTTTGAATGTGTACTGTTTAGAACCTACAATATCCAAGATTTTTGATTGAGTTGTCATCTTTCCGGAAAACTACAGTTTTTAAGATTATTCATAAGTACAAAATGAAAGAACTCGCTGTTGCAAACATAAATTTACTGTGAAAAAAATTCATTTCGTACGTCCCTGCCCTGAACCAATAGGATATGACGGTATAGATTGTATACCACCTAACCAAGATAAGGTCAGAATAACAATCAAACGGCTAAAGAATAAAAAGGCAGCAAGTGCCGATAGGCTATCAGCCGAACTATTCATGATAGGTGGTCAGATGCTGATCAAGAGCATGTACCAACTGATCAATACAATTTGAGAAATGCATGCCCAATAATTGGAACCTAAGCATTCTGTGTCCCGTGCACAAAAAAGGAGACAAGACGATATGGTGTGAGTAAACAATTTAAGAATAAGGCCACCTTTCGCCAGACCAAAATCACACTCTTCAAGACGCGGAAGCATGGGTACTTACCCAAGCAGATGAAGCAACTGTTAGAGTGTTTGAGAGAAAAATTCTCCGATCTGCGTCTACGGTCAAATGAACCATGTGCTTTACCATCTATTCTCGGACATCGACGTATCGAGCTGCAACGACTACAGTGACTAGTCGTTGTGAGAATGGATGAGGATGCCACAGCTCAAAAGGTACATAAAAGCGGGCCAACTTATGTTTCATGCATGTGTAAGATAATGTATCGAAACATGGTCTTTCATATTGGAAAGCTGCGCACAAGACCGAAGCGCTTGGAAATATTTTTTAAGCTCGACTTATGAAACAAATATTCTGTCACAAGTCAGCTAAGTAAGTAAGTAAGAGGGGATGTGAATGGAAAAAACTGAAGGTCCTTTTTCAACCTTGCCTCAACATGCGAATATCCATCTCATGTATTTGGGATCCCTATCTTAAATTTTATGAGCGACGTTATTGTTGAATATTTTGATATAAAAAAATCTTGTCTTGTGGCATTTAGATTAAGTTCAACAAACACGAGAAGCAAACATATGAATATATGAGTTACCAAAAATACTAATTCATAATATCATTAAAACTTGACTTCGATTTTCTCCTTCAGAGTTTTTAAAATACTCTCCAAGGTCTTCCATCCCAATAAGGAGTTTTCCATCACCCCAGACCATGACCTCGATTTTGTGTCACAGTGTCATAAATTATCACTAGTGGGTATAATTTCATTGTAGGGTTTTTATCCCATAATGGGACTACTCACTGTTCTCGATTTCAAATTTTTATAATTTTCAACTGGCTGGGAAATTGACGTGTACTTGAAGACTTAAAGGATAAGAAAATTGTTATTTAATTAACGAGATGTACTTCTTTTCGACGGTTGGAACGTCCGATTCCAAAAATTCCAACGGCATTCGATAGAGTTCATGCCTGGCTCTGATATGAACTAAAATCGCACAAAAATAGACAAAATGGCGGACATATGAAATTTAAGTTTTAAAAAAATCCCTATTTTTGACCACAAACCAAGTTAGAAAATAAAGAAGATCTTGACTGATTGCATTTATCCTAGTTCATACGGTAGCTATGAACTCACTCAAAATTATAAAGAGACATTCTTGAATTAATGTAGGTTCGAATTAAACAGAAAATAAATATAATTTTTTTTAAATCGAGAATGGGTGTGGGGTCCCTTTACACTTTTATGTACTTTATATGTTTGAAAATCCTCTCCATTGACCCACAGTAACCATAAGTGACAAATTGCCAATTTATTTGTGAACATCAATTTCAAAAGATCGTCACGTTGTAATTTAATCGCTTATAAAATAAAACTCATTATATATCAAGAGATATCAGCGAAAATATAAATGCAATGAAAAAGCAAACAAAAGACTTAAGGCACAAACTTCAAAAGTGTGTGTGTGAGAAATTCAATCGATCATCAATCAATTTTGTAATTTTTCTTTTAACTTTCAGCTATTATTAACATTCTTGACATTTCTCTACGTGTGTATGTGTGTTTGTTTGTCTAAGCTTTTTCTTCAATTAATGCCATGACATTACAAATCAGACGATTGTTAAGAACCAGTCATTAATTTTATAATTGTCACATAATTCATGTTGTCCCAAAGAGAAGCCGATCCGTAGTTGTCCACAAGTGGCGGTAGTGCGACGACTGCTGCTGCAATGAATTTTCTCTAACGCTACTCATTTGGTTATGGATATGCCATTGAGTGGCCCGTCTTTGCGTTTTTGTTGCCTTTCTTTTTTGCTGCTGCTTTGCTTCGGCATGGCTTATCTTAGCCAGCCATAGCCATCATCATCATCATCATCCGCACCGTCATCGTTGTCCTCGTCGTCACCTTGTTGTGGTTGTGGTCTTGGCTGTTGGGGTTTCGTTTTTTTTTTGTTCCTGTCGCTTAGGCTGTTGTTTTAAATGTGAAACCATTAGTTTTTATATGGACTTAAATGCATCCATATTGTGTCTCCTACTCCCAAAATGTATGGATGAGGAGGAGGAGGAGATGAAGTCACCACAGCCATATGGCTGTGGCAACAATTCAATTACAATTTAGTTTTTCACACTTGCCATAGCGATTTTCAACACCTTTGGAATTTCACATATAACTGCCAAAAGCATCTATTTGTAAAGGCTGATTTGAATCTCACGGTGGTGGTGGTGCTGGTGACGATGGTGTTGTGGCTGGCTGACTGGCTGGCATCAGTAGCAGAAGGAAATTGCATGCATGCCGAACGGCGGCCGCTGAAAAACGCTCAATGACAAAACGGCAAAACGGAGGAGTCACCAAAAAGGCCATTTATTATGGCAGTGCCACTGACGCATCCACGACCAACCTCCAACTTCCAGCTATTACTACTGCTGATTGCTAACATAACATTGTGTTTTTGTTGTTGTTGTGTGTTGCTGTTTGCCAGTTGTCCATTTCGTGTTTTATTTTTTGGGAAGAGATGTCGATTCCAATGTCTGGAATAAACACGAAACTTTGTATGTGAGACTCTTCACTTAGATTAGCCAAAATGTTTCGATGGTTGGCTGACTGGCTGGCTGACTGTTCGGTTGGTTGTGTGGCTGGTGTGGAAACGCGATCTTTAGGTTTCATATTAATACCCTTTCGCGTTTTACAAGTAACACGACATTACTACATACAACACAACGACAACAACATTACCGCCACTGATATGCCGAAGCAACAAAAAACGAGAACACAAAAATATATATAAATACACATATCGACTTTAGCAGGACAAGATGTAAGACAAAAAACCAAACAGCAACAGAACAGCAGATGAAGCCAAGATCTCTTTCCAAAAAAAAAGAAGAAGAAACGCAATCCTTTTGCAACATTTGCTTCTCCTTGCAAAAGGAAAAAATTGGTTATTCTTCAACGACGCCACACAGTCAACGACTATACCCTGCAACTCCACAGCTGAGTAAATGAGTCGATGGCTCGTTGGCCTTAACAGATAAAAATACTTCACACACGATTAGGAATTTTTAATTAAAATATTTTGTTGTTTTTGTTGTTGGAGTTTTTCCTGTCTCTCCCTCTCTCTCTCCCTTGCGGTGTGTCATAGTTTATTTCTTTCATTTGTTCATCTGCTTTCCCGTTGAGTTGGGATTTGCTTAATTTTGTTTTCGTTGAAATGAAGTGAACAAAAAATTCTTTGAAAGAAAAACGATCAGTTATGAAGGTACTTTTCGTACACACACACGCACACTTATGTATGTGTGCGAGATTGATGAAGAATAAGGGTTTCATGCGAGAGGACTTCGAAGTGATAAATGAATTCAAGTGAAACTGAAAATGAAATCGCTAGGAAAATGTTGACGGGATATTTGATGAATTAATTTTGGTTTAGACAGGTTGAATTATTTACATGGTATAATGATGTAGAGGTTCCAATCGCAATCGAACAATGTATGTGAGGTAATTAAAAGGCCATTATGTGTACTGTAGTGATATACAGAGACCTAATGAACCGTTCACTTAAAAAAATCCCTGAAAGGATTCACCAATCTTCTTCTTTAGAAGGTCTCAAAGTTTTGTCTATCATTAGCAGGAGCTGTAGGAACGTCCATTTGTAAATAATAGAATTATCCTTTGAAAACATTTCTGATTTTTTTCTTCTACCGTATCCTTAGAAGATCTAATTAGCCTAATTGATCAATTTTATCGCAACAGGAATTTTTAATGTAAGTTAATCTTAGAACCATGGACCTACTAAATATACGGACATCTGATGGTGCTTTGTATATAGAAGACATCATCCTTGGAAAGGATAACTGATATTTTTCCCTTAGAAAAACTCCTATCCATATGAAAATTCGTATCCATATAAAACATATGGGACTCCAATTATTGGGAGACTAGATGGGGCTTTTATATACAGAAACCCAGTATAAACATCCATAGGTTCAGTATGTCTGAACCACGATCGGATGTTCCAGAAGAAAAGAAATACCAACGCGTGACGTTCGAAAAGGTTGTCTTAAATCGTCAATATACCAAAAATCGGGCCTACCGTTATATGGGGCTATACTAAAAGTGGACCGTGTGAGAAATTCATCGAAGGAAGGTTTGACACTCAATAACAATCCAAAATATTACATTACCACGTTACCGCAGTATTCTTCAGATACATCGGTAACTGTAGTCGAAATTTGTGCTAAAGGCTATTGGTCACCAATACTTTTTAATAAAAGGTGGTTCTAATAAGAGACGGAAACTACCGGATC